CAATAAGAGAAAGATAACCATAAAATCCAAAATACTTGGAGATTAAATAGAACATTTCTAAATAACACATGGACTAAAGAAAAAATCTCCAGTGAAGTTTAAAAACATTTTAAATTAAATGAAAGTGAAAACACAACTTATCCAAAGTTGTGGGTTGCTGGTTGGCCATGATGGCTCACACCTGCAGTCTCAGCACTTTGGGAGGCTGAGGTGGGTGGATCACCTGAGTTCGGGAGTTCAAGATTAGCCTGGCCAACATGTCGAAACCCTGCCTCTACTAAGAACACAAAAATTCGCCAGGCATGGTGGCAGGCACCTGTAATTCCAGCTATGCAGGAAGCTGAGGCATGAGAATTCCTTGAACCCAGAAGTGGAGGTTGCAGTTGCAATGAGCCAAGATCAATGCCACTGCACCTTAGCATGGGTGATATAGCAAGACTTTGTCTCAGTAATAATAACAATAATAATAATTTGGGTTATTTTAATATTAATAGAGTTTAAAAAATGTAAGTTTTGATGGCACAAGATTCCTTTGACACATTTAACTTACTATTTCTATGAGGTAAATTTCTGACTATGTTGGGGTTTTGTTTTATTATTCTTTGCTTAGTTTTGTTTATTTTGAGAATCCATGTCTTTAAAAATCTAGAGTAAGATTTTTTCAATATAATGCAACATTCTAAGAAGAATCATGTTTCTTTAATAATTTGAATTATAATTGGTCTCTATCTGCCCCAAATCATATCTGTGTTAAAGAATTCAGAAAGAATACTCATAGCTTGGAAAAGACTATGTTCAAATAATGGTATTGTTAGCCACAATGAACTATGACTTTTTTTACAAAATACTTTGTTTTTGAATATTGGAGACAAAACACAGAAAACCCCACTATAATACCCTTGCTGTGTCATGAAAGGGGTTTCACTGTGAGTAAATCACATCCCCTGTGTAGATATTAGGGCAGAGGGTACTTTTTGCATTGAGGCCCTGCAGCTTTGTTTGTGACACTGCTAGTTTTTCAGTAATCAACATGAACAAGACTAAATCCCAACTCTGTTCCATGTGAGGTCCTGCTAGGCCCGCATAGTGAGCTGAAAGCACATGGACCTTGGAGCCACATAGTCTGCACTCAACTGTCCCCCTCTCATTTACAAGCTGCAGGACACTGCAAAAGTCATTTACACTGCCTGAGCTTAGAGGTTTTTATTTGTAACAAAATTATACCTTCCACCCAGGATTATGACAATAGAGATACAATATAATATATAAATAGACCTGCAGATACTATAAGCTCAAAAGTGACAACTCTTATTATCTTACCATTCTTACGATTGCTAAAAGTGAACACTATTACTATCGTTATTTGGCCTTGAGATATGTTGTACTGTATTCCTGTTCACCTTTGATTTGTCCCTCTAACTGGATACTGATTGCCTGGAGGGCAAACATGCCAATGCCTTCACTTTTGTAATCCTCATAGCCCTTGGGATAATGTCTTGCTCTCTATAGGAGCTAAGCAAAAATATTTGTTCAATGAAGGTGATGCTCTAAGTGGAATGACTGAAAGCTGATAAATCATGCTGAAATTCCTTTAACACAGTCATGCACAAGTTTTAGGGCACTGGAGTGACATGAGGAGCTTGGTAAAATACAGATTTCTGTACATCTCCCACCCCAAGAGATTCAGATTCAGTTGGCCTAGGGATTTCCATTTTAACAAACTCCCTGGGTAATTAATTATGATGCAGGTGGTCCATGTGTTAATAACATTTAGAGAAACCATGGTTTAGTGGATACATCCAGATCATGCCATGTTTTGTTGTAAAGAGATGCCCACGTAATATGTAAGGTAGGAATTAATGATCATTTAAGTGAAAATTTGGTCTACAGGGTCATTCAAAAAATTCACTTTATCGTTGAGGTGCCAAGCAGATATTATGAAACTAATCAAAACTTATTTTTCATAAGTTAATTAACATGTTTTATGTCCTAGTTATCTTAGCCAAAATTGTATATGAACATGCTGTCTTTTTGGCTCCAACTTGCCATGTGGAGAGGAAATAGAAGTGGAATAAAATGCCCACTGGGCATTAGACTGCAAATACATTCATCCTGCAGCAAAGCATTAATTTATAACAATAACTGTACTGCATTATGCATATAATTCATCCACAGTTGGCCCCCAAACCAATCTCTTAGTGAGACACTTCCTTTCTCTAGCTGCCTGCTATTTATGGCAAAGGCTTAGAACCAGTAACAAAATAATTGTAATTTCTAGGAGTGCTGCCCTAACGTACTTCTTTTTAATATTAGGAAGAATTGAACAAAATTAAGAAAACTGATGCAGGAGTTATATCATCCTTCCAACATAGGGACATAGGGACAATTTAAAGACAGTAAAATAAGATTTTTTACTTCATGAGAACAAGTCATATAGGAAAGAACTGCAATTTACTTTCAATTTTCACCTAATGACTTCAAAATATTAAGAATAATGCCTATTTTCAGGTGAATAATATTTTAAAAAGAGAAAAGAAGGAAACATTTTCTAGTTAGGCTATAAAACTGAAATTAATGATTTTGATGTCTTTTTCTCTGCCTTTATATTATTTACAAAACTAAATCTTTAAATTATTAAAAATAAGATATAAAATTAGTTTCCCAACAAATCAAAGTTCTATAGAAGTTATTAGTGTATCATATATGTATGCTGGAGCTCAGTGAAAATCCAACAGTCCCAGACGCTATCATGAGTTCTACTGTGAAATTAATGTAACTGTCCCTTGTTGTTACGTCTCATCTTGATCATCTCAAACATTTCCCATCCTGAAAATATGAAAAAAATTAGATTTTGGGAAAAAAATGTATTATTAGATCTTGATTCTATTCCAACTCTGCAATAATTACAGTAATTACAAAGATAAAGGGTAAAAGTCACAAAATGCTGGCTGGGACATTCCAGAGCAGGAGAAAGCTTGGCGCCATTTTTATAGTTATGCCTGTTAAGATTTAATAGATGGAAAGTTTCATTAGTGAGCTGTGCTGCAATTAACTTCAAGGAGGTTCCAGACTACTGTATGTTGCTGTTACTGACAGAAAACTGTTTAGATTTCCTTATTGAAAGAGTATATTAGATTTTCAACACTTCAATTATAAAAACTAGTAAGAGGCATGATTTTAAAAAATTCAATGTAGAGGCTAGTTTTTTCTTATAACACATAGTAATCATGGGTTTTTATTCTTCAATGGACATGCCAATTGTTGACTATCTAGGAGTGAGTTGCTTTTGTGTATATTGTTATTAACTTAGACATAATTCTCTATTTTTCTTGCTAGCTCATAAAATCATGTCCTAATGGAATTACGGCGAAGTTGGAAACTATTTATCTAAATCAAATATTTTTTGAATCACATACTCTACATTTAATATAAAACGCTTGTTATCAACTCTGACAATTTTGGCAAATACTATGGAATAAAAGCTGTGGAATCTAGTGACTTGCTTTTCTTCCATCACCAGGATTCTTGCTGGCTAGATTCTGGTCTGCTCTTGGACCTTGGAATCTAGACCTTAGAGATATAGGTAGGCATTTGCAGATTCCTCCTCAGTGGAAATGAAACTGTTGCTCCCCTTTATCTGTGCAAATCATCCAAAGTCATCTGAGGCTGCTCATCACAAAATTACTACCATAATTGAGGTTTTACGTCATTCAGTAGACTTTCTGAATTTGCATGTTAATTTCTATACCCTACTATGATATGACTAAACTGCTATGATCCTCACTGTTATATTTTATTGTATTAAATAGTAGGTATTATATTAAACAGTAAGTTTAATAAATAGGTTCAGGTTTTTTAATGACCTAAAGAACAAAACCTGCATTTTATGACTTTTAAAATCAGTCTTGATGCTCTTTCTTCTGGTTACAACCCATCCACTCCCTTTTATTCTACACATGTTTCTATTAATAGGCTGCAGACTCTTTTAAGTGTGGTAAGCATGTAACCATGATAAGCACTCTCAGAGACATGATAGCCTTTTCAGACCAGAAGAATACAGTTTGGCGTCTAGGAATGGTAATTTAGTTTGACAAACAGCTAGGGAGTGCCAGAAAGACTAGAGTTTTCATCTGCATGGGGTTATCCCATGGACCAATATGTGGGCTGCTGTCTGAGAAGCACAGATGAATCCATTTTTCACTACTTCAATGTGAAGTGTGAAGTCTGAAGGTGGGTGACATGTGCTTTTGCCTTGTTTCATGTGGTAACATGCTGTTGCAGAATTGTGGGTGGTTGGTCTGACTACTGGACCAAACTTTCTCTGACATGGTTTCCAAAGTACCACTCTCTCCCCAGTAGGTGATTTTCTACAAAGTTCTAATGCTTTTTATTTTTCTTGTCCTTTTTAATTCATTAGACTTGGCCACACTGTCTCAAAACATGACAGGTGTGGGAAGAAAAGAAATATGGTGTCATGGCAGGAAGCCATGCTTAGAGATTCTGCAATGCCCCCAGGAGATGACATGACTGGCTACAGATCATGGTGCCGGACTACATCACAGCTAGATCCCACAACCCTTCCTACACACCACAGTTTTCTGTGCCTTAAGGTTTTGGTAAGTTATGTTCTGTTCCTTGGACAATTACTTTTGGTTTAGTTCTGAGAAAAATCATTACTACTTGGATTAAGTTTGCGTCACAGTTTAAGAGATCAATGTGTTTATTTGGGTTTTATGTATTTATGGTTGGTTTTAGTTTCTGCTCTTAAACACCAGCAACAAATTCTCTGGGTTTGAGAAGGATTGCATCACATTTTTCAATGTCTCCTTGTGACGTGGTTTTTGGAACATGGAGCTAGAAATCAGACTTTAGAATTAGTCTCTTTGTCGCAACTTAGTGAGTTCTGACTTCAGGTACAGCACCTTGGCATGATGTTATATATATATATTTTTAACTTCTCTATTAATCAACCTGTTTGTTTATCAGTTCTTTCACAGGGAGGTAGTTAAAATTTATCTTTGAAATGAAGATAGGCTGTGTAACATTATCAGAACTGGTTTGAGGTGTGTCAAATGGATTGCTACATGTTGCATATTTAGCTATCTTTTATTGGTCTGCATTTTCATTTGAAGAGATATTTAACTTTTTATAAGCAAGGACAGTATAATATACAATACTACTAAGCCTAATATTCAAGAATGTTTTCATACATGTCTTAGTATTAATTAGGGAGCAGTTCTTGTTTGACATGTTTACTTTTAATTCCTAATAGGTTTCCAAGTGGGGTACTGCAGTAAGTACCCAGAAAAACTAACAATTATCTAGTCTAAAGAGCTTTGTATTTCACTGTAAAATTAAAATTGTGGGGAAATTGTGTTTTCATTCTACTCATATTAACCTTTTCTTATCCATATTACCCAAAGGTTAACTTGTTCTTGCTATTTTTATGAAGTGAGAAGCAGGAACTTTGTCTTTTTATGAAAGGAAGTACAGGAGTGCCAAGCATTCATTAGAGATTGAAATTAGAAGCGACTGTGAGATTAAGTTAGAATGTAGCTCATTGTATGAGCCCATTTTGGACTTTTGGAGGTGCTGGTATTAGGAGGAGTGAACATAATTGCATATATGAAAGGTAACTTCATTTATCAGGTACGATAAATACATGCATGATGCTGGTGTGTTTGGAGACAGATCTCTGTAACTTTCTGGGAGAAAAATGCATCTCCACAGGTGGGTGTCACTCCCTCCAGGCACCTGAGTCTGGGAATCTGTTGTAAGTATAGCTCAAGAATCAAGGAGGAGCCTTTCCATTTTACTTTTCTTTGTTTGCTTCTTTTCTTTTCTTTTTTTTTTTTTATATATTTCTGGCTTCACTACTTTGTTACTAAGTAGCTAACTCAATTTCTTTCTCTGCCTCACACAATTGCACAATACAACCAAGGGAAATATTATTAGTATCTTCACAAAATGGCACAGTGGAAAATGATGTTTGGCTTTCCAGCTCTCATTTCACAAATATTCAGGGGGTGGGAGAACCTGAAGAGGAGGAGAGGGGTCAGTGGCTGGCTTTCAATAATGGTAACTTCTCCCAGGAATCTGAGAAAATAAAATGGGAAATAACTCATGTTTATTTGATTCTTTAAAAAAATTGATTGGAAACACTTTTAATCGCCCTGAAAGAGAAAAAGAGAACCCCCAATGTTTTAAAACACCACTCTCTAGCCAGTAGGGTAGAGATTTTGCTAGAATTCATCCTATAATTTCTAAATGAATGAACAGAAATAAGAAAGGTATTATACTATTTTATGCTGAATTAACCTCACTATATACTGCTAAAGATTTATCTCTGGAGACACATCATAAAAACTAAACACTTTTACCACCATGGCAGTATTAAAAAGTATTTCATATTTTATTATTTGGGTGTAAAATTACTAATCAAGGGTAGGAAATGACCAGAAGAAAACAAGAGAAAAAGAGACTCATTGAAACATGCTGAAATATTCCTAACTTTCACTGAATGCCTTCACTTGTGTTTTTTACCTTCATCTTTAGGGCCAGCACTTCTAAATAAAAGACAATCTGTTTAAAGTAATAGAGTAGCATAGTAAATAACTGCTGCAAATGAACAAATTCTGTTTTGCCCAATAGGATCATCGAGGCAGAAGAGCTTCTCTAAATGCATCATTTATTTCAATGAAGGCCAGACTTTTTTTTTAGGTTGTGAACTATTTGTATATTGGAAAATTGCTTCCCCTCATGCCAACACAAAAATTTATTGCCCCAGAATTAAGTGAATGGATTATATTCTCAAAGGAGGGGTTGTCTGAGTTTTAGTTAATACAAAAAAAATATGCCTTTGGAATAAAGGAACAAACATGGCCATATAATTTGTAAGTCATAATATTCTAGAGAACATCCCACAGACCCTGGAGATCTTCCAGTGTTTTCCTGGACTATGCATTGAGAACCAGCCCCTCTCGGGGAGAGAAGTGAAAGACAATTACATTGCATTTTGAGTTTCATCTTGTGTCTTAGGCAGGCTTTTGGGACCCTCTCATCTTTCATTTTCCCCTCCCGTGCTATGTTTCCTTTCCTTTACATCACAAAAAGGCATGAGGAGATTTAGGTGATGAAGCTGAATTCCTTTATTTCTCATGAAAGGTAGTGTAGGCGCTGGAGTCAGATAGCTCACATTCAGATCCCTCTTCTACTGCTTACAATGCCTCAATTTTCTCATCAGCAAAGTGGGGATAGTAATAGATTTTTTTTTTCATGTAGGTTTTTTTGTAGGGATAAAATAAATTAATATAAATAAAGGATTTAGTACTGTGCCTGGTACAAAGTAACTGCCAAAGAAATGCTATTAATATTGTTGTGGGTATTATTATCCTTCAAGTATCAGCATAAAGGCTGCCTCCTTTATGAGCTTTCCGAGTTCTCTTAGGCAGAGTTTTGTAACTTTGTGCATAATTCCAGTAGAGCTTTTTGTTTTGTTTTGTTTTTGTAGCAATTTTGAAAATTATTATCAGTTTGTTCCTAGGTATGTTTCCTCAAAGACGGTAAACTTCTTGAAGTACGAACTAGGGGATGGTGCTTTATTTGTATATCCCTAACACTAGCACAGTGCCTGGCATCCAGTGTTTATGGATAAATGAATAAATACATGGATGGATGAATGAATGAATGAATGCATGTTTCACTTGTTATCTTCCAACATCCAGTCTTTCCTTCTTTCTTTAGTATTTCAAATTTTAGCAGAGCATGTGGCTGTCCAGCTAATGTTTACATTTCCCAGGCTCCCTTTAAGCTAGGTGTGACCATCTGTGGAAGTTCTGGCCAATGGCAAGTATGTAGTGTTCCATTTATGGATTATTCCCTTAAGAGAAAGAGGCATATCCTCCATTTTCCATTTTTCTGCCATCTCTGGATGGAATTGGTTAAGATGGTGAGATCTGGAGCAGCCATCCCAGACTGGGAGACAGATGGGACCAGTTAAAAGTGGCACGTGTTGAGGATGGCAGAGCAAGATTTAACAATCGCTGGGTTCCTAACAATGTGGAGCTGTGCAACCAGCTCTGGGCTGCTTGCATTCCAGCTTTTATGTAACACAGAAATTTCTCTCTTGTTTGGAGCACTGTTTTGCTGTGGTTGTTTACATTGGGCAGGGAGGGTGGTTTGTTTCAGTAGCTGAGCCATCTCATAATACACTGTCCACAGAGCTACATTTCCTTAAGCCCTGACCTTTGATAGATAATTTTCTATTGTAGATATTATTGATAAAAATAAATGTGAATTAGATTATACAGCTGGTTAAAATTGAGCAAGTGTGTGAATTAAATACAGAAACAACGGCTTTAGTTTAACTATTTAAAAAATCATTTAAACCTTATTATCACTCTATTCCCAGTTGCCTGATGATTATATGCTTCCCATTGGCCAGAACTCCAACTGGTGATGGGGGAGGAGAAATAAAAGATTAGACAAACCCTGTTACAGGACTGAGGGCAGGGAGCAGTGCTTATCCTAGGAAGTATTTCTATTCGAATCTCATTTAGGTGGGCAAGAGGGACAAGGTTTTGCCCAGGCAACTGCCCTCATCTCAGCAAAGCAAGCTTCCTCCATACCCCGTTCTCCTGTTGGCTTGCACAGTGCTTGTCCTGAAAAACAGGGTCAGTAGAAAAAGGGTAGCAGCCCCTTTTGATCTCCACTTTTTATTTGTAATAAATTGCTTTTTAACCTTCTAAGCAAGAGCTACTACATGGAGAACTGTTTGAGTCTCTGGATCAGGAATTCAGGCTTGATGTGTGAGTTATAAGTTTTCTAATGTCAACAAAAATATACCTAGAGATTTACCAAGATGCTCTTCCAGAGATTTTCATTGTAAAGGAAAATTATTCTAGAGAAAATTAAAAGATAGCAACAACCTCATGTTCTTTTCTGGGAAAGTATAGAAAATGGTGATGAAACAGGAGTATATAGGTATATAGATACAGTTTTGAAACTTTTCGTTAAAGCATAGCATACATACAAAAAAGTGTCTAGACCGTAAGTATACACTCTGATGAATTTTCACAGTTCAAAAACATCCATGTTATAACTTTATGAATTAAGAATTATAAAAATTCAAGCATCTTGTGTTATTCCTCTGAAATATTTCAGAATCTAAAAAACATCACTACCTCCTATTTCCAACTTACAAATGTAAAATTGTTGAAGCACTGAAGAAATGCTTGTTATTAATAAGAAATGTTATTATTTCAGCATTTTAACATGTAGCTCAAGATGTTAAAAATGTATGTTGCACATTCTTGATGTTTACACAACTGTCACATAGATCATGAGACTTTAGAGCAATTTGTCTCAGCCTACTCAGTGCAATCTCTTGGTCAGTTCCATATACGCTCTATTTCTCCTTAGTGCTTTTCTGGCACTCCAGGTAGAAGTAACAACCTTTCAAAGCCTTGGTTTTCACAGCTGTAGATGGGGCACAATAACTGTACACACAGGATTGTGCAGATTAAATTATAAAATGTATACAAAGAGGTATACATGACATTTGCATGTAGGAAGACATTAATAAATGTTGTTTGTTATTAGTATTATGAATGGCAAT